AGAAAAAGGCTACTCAATAGATAAGATAAAGCTTCTTTTTCGAAAGGGTGTCTTTCCTTATGACTGGACCAACTCATGGGACAAAACAGAGCTTCCTTCAAGAAAAGATTTCTATTCGCTACTTAGTTAGCAAAATATTAGTAAGGAGGATTATAAACATGCGCAAGAAGTATGGCAAATATTCAAGATGAAAAACTTTGGAGAATATCATGACCTATATCTTGAAACAGATATACTTTTGCTTGCTGATGTATTTATGAATTATACTATTATGTGCTTGCAGGATAATGGCTTAGATCCCTCTCATTATGTCTCAGCACCTGAAATGTTTAATGATTCATTATACAAGGGCAGTAGAGCTGAACTTAAGCTCATAACAGATATGGATGAGTATCTAATAGTCGAAAATGGTATTCGTGGTGGCATAACAATAGTAAGTCATTGCTAAAGCTAATAACATACAATGTTCCAATTATGATTCCAGCAAGCTGAAGTCCTAGATTATGTATAAAGATATGAATGCCTTATATTCAGATGCGATGACCCAATATATGCCTACAAAAATCTTAGGTAAGGTAGATCCGGAAGAAGTATCAGATATCCAAATCATCACACCTGATGCAGATATAGGTTATACACTTGAAGTTAATCTAGAAGTTCCAGTACACTTGCACGATTACTTTGCAGATTATCCATTAGTGCTAGAAAAGCAGATAGTTTTAGAAGATTAGCTTAGCTTGTACAATGAAAGATTAGTGCAAGATAAAAATGTTGGAGGAGGTAAATACATGTCCGGAGAGAAGCTAGTTCAGACTCTTTTTACTAAGAACAATTATGTAGTTCACTATTAAGCTCTTCAGATATATATAAAGTTTGGAATGAAGGTTACAAAAATTCATAGCGCTCTTAAGTTTAGACAATCTCCATGGATGAAGGAATATATTGAGGAAAATATTCGTAAACGCAAAATAGCCAAGGCAAATGGAGATGAGTTTGGAGTTATGTATTATAAGTTAAAGAACAATGTGGTATTTGGCAAACAGATGGAAAATGTTCAAAAACATATGAGAATAGAATTACTCTGAACAGAAGAGGATAAAAAAATTAGGCGTCTAGCAAGTTCTCCATTATTTGTAGGTTTCAAACAATTTGAAGGAGGAATTACAGCCATTCATATGTTAAAAGGTACGGTAATCTTAAATAAACCAATCTATGTAGGGCAAGCAATTCTCGACATTAGCAAGGCTATGATATTTAACTTTTGGTATGGTTACATAAAGTCTCGCTATAGAGAAAAGGTCTGTCTACTTTATACAGATACAGACTTGCTTATCATGTGAATAGAAATTGCGGATATTTATAAAGATCAGGCAGAAAGATCAGACATTTTTGATCTTAACTATTCGGGAGACTTGTTTCTGATGAAGGATGAGACAAAGGGAGACCCAATAGGCGAATCGGTATGTTTAAAGCCAAAGATGTACTCAGTTCTTCTAGCAGGACATGATCTTAAAACACCAGAGAATCCTGATTCTAAAGACCCTAAAAAGAAGCATGGCATTCAGAAGGCAAAGGGTATAAAGAAATGCGTGGTCAAAAGGAAGCTTTGATATGATAAGTTCCTAGAATATCTTAGGAACAAGAAACTAACCCGTCATAATATGTATAGCCTTCGCAGTTATAATCATCAAATTTATCTGGAGAGGGTAAATAAAATAGGGTTGAATCCATATGATAATAAGCGCTGGATCTTACTTGATGGAATTCGAACCCTCCCATATGGTCATTGGCGGATTGGACTATATAAACGCCTGATAGTATCTGAAATATCTCCTGAGGAAGCGAAAGAAAGGGCTATGAAAGCTAAGCTTCATGTCAAGGCATAGATGGTTTATAACAAATATTTTTTTCGGGGTAAAAAAACTAATAACTAAAGAATATAATTTTATTAATTAAAGTTTTTCTATTGTTATAGTAGAAACAATACAAAAATGGTCGATCATAAGAATATAGAACTTGCGCAAGTCAAAGTCATAAAAACTGCATTGCGAAAAGGCAGGAAATATGATAATCTTATGGAGACTATCTAAAGAAATTGTGAGCTGAAAAGGATCTGAATAACTATATTAAGACATTTGCAGTAAAAATGTTCCCTAAGGAAGAAGCATATACTGAAAGGCTAGAAAATTATCGCAAAAGGTATAAAGATAATAATCTATATAGCAGTTTAAAGGAATTATATGAGCTTTATTATCAAATAGCTAGGGAGGAGAATCGCGAAAGATCAGATGAAGAAATAGAACAGATGCTCAAAGCAATGGCAATCTAGTGAACAGCACATATATTATAGATTTTGTTCATGTACGATAAATATTCAGTTATTTTTTCCTGGATATAGAAAGAAAATAACTTATAAAAAATATTACACATATTCAGAAAAAGAAAGATATGTGCTATTCAAGAGATCAAAGACTCTATTATAGCATTAGAGCATGATGTAACAAAGATACATCAAAATCTTAAAAACATTGGCTGAGAAATATATTATCTATATGATGCTATGATAGGCTCCTTCGAGACCACATCATTCTCTGAATCATCTGAATCCAGTTCACCCGAAGTAATGATAGAGGAGATAGTTATATCCAAAGAAAAGAAAGACAAATTCTATAAGCCAAAAAAGGCCAAGCAGACTCAAAGAATAGAGTAATTGAATCGGATAAATTATTAAGTATGGTTAAAAAATCTAGAAATAGTAATAGACGCAAGACTGCAGGTAAGTTTACTACTAATCCCACGTAATATTTGCCACTATACAATCCAGCCAAGTATGATCACACATATGATAAGGTAACCGGCTTTATCACTGTCAAAAATATAAAACAAGACAGGGTTGTAGGCGTGTTTGATTATCCTGAGCTATGTGAATATCTGGAGTCGGGTGCTCATCATTAATATTATTTTTTCGATTAAAGATATAGGCTTATATAGTAAAGTATGGGATTTAATATCAATTTGTACAATATGGAAAGTTTAGATGAAATTATAGAAAATGCAAATAAAAATATTAAAAAGGTGTTTCTAGCAGGGGTTGCACCTGAATTTCGACAAGAAGCCTATATAATTGGTCTTAAATTAACATTGGATAGATTGGTACAGGAGCTAGAGTTTGCGCAAAAAGATGATTGTTCTTCTAAACTAGCCAGTTCAGAACGATAATCTTTAGCTCAGAAGATTTTTTGCTAAGCCACAGATTGTGTGACAGAAAAATAAGTAGATCATCAATCAGGTCTTGTGCGTTATATTAATTTTCGCATATATATATCGAAAAAAACATATTAATCTTTATTCTTTATTTTTTTCCTGAACAAATATGAGAAAAATGTGAAAGAGCGCCTAGTTGCAACACAGGACCTACTGCAAAAGTAAATAGTGATGGCAAAAGTATATATTGTGAAAGGCTGAGGGACTCATAATTTCGAGATCGCTAGGCGTAAAACCAAATATAATTTTCAGTAGATCTACATGTGAAAAGGTATGAGAATTTCATTTGCATATGCTTTCAAAGCTTTCTTGGCATCAGACGACAATACTAATTATGCTTCATACCTCCTTATCTTTTCCTTTCCAACAGTAAGATATAAAACATGTAGGGGTATGTAGAAGTTTAGCCAACTTTTTTGCAAAAATTTTAGGGTATGTATATGCTAGAAGTTATATGTGTATAAGAGCGCGTTTTTCTCACAATAGCCTTGTATTTAGGAAAGCGAGATATCTGATAAGTCTGAGATACCTGATAAGTTCAAAACACCTGACAAACTTGAAAAGTTTCTCGCTGATGAAGATATTATTCTTAATTGTTTAATTCCTGATGAGGGGTGAACAATATTTTTGAAGTAACAATATCTAACGCTAATAACAATCGAGTTTCTTCTCTTACGGAGGCAATCAGGAACCGTTGTCTAGATCAATTTCAAGATATTGATTTAACCAGTTTGACCTTATATAAGGTTGGGTTTGTAGCCAATAGCGTTATAATCAACACCTTAAGAAACAACAATGTATTCATAGTAGATGGGTCAGTAGAAATGGAACTGCAGGATAGAATTTTTATTCATTTTTCCATTCAACCCAACGTATCTATTCTGGTGAAAAGGAATCAATGTTATCGTGTATCCTCTTACTGAAACAGTACCACATAAATAATTAATATTTTTAAATTCACATCAATGTAATAGTGATATATTCGCAATTTTTATGTAATGTAGGCCTCTGGGACCCTTCTGGCAAGGTTTTTTTATTTTTTAAATAAAGCATATATTATGTTCTTGTCGTAAATCTTGAAAAATGTCACGTGTAATGATGTAATATAATCGTCTGACAATCCTGTACTACATCTTAATTGCATATGCCATCGATTAATAAAAAATTATTCTGGCAATTATTAATAAAAAATTTTATTGGCAAACACATGATTTTCATTTATACATATAATTCTCTAGAAATAATTATAGTTGAATACATCCCGGTTTGGTTTTCAGCTTATTCTTTTTTTTGCTATATGTCATGTGCAGTACGTAATAGAACGTCATTACTACACTTCTCTGCAGTAACTACATATATACTGTTTTGAGTGTCATATGATACCACTCCCTCTGGGCTCAGTGTTAAGTGATCCTTTACGCATATACTGTTGTAAGTGTCATATGATATTACTCCCTCTGGAATCAGTATCAAGTGATTCTTTACATATATACCGTTGCGAGTATCATATAATATTGCTCCCTCAATCTTTGAAAAAATAAAAATAAATCAGATCATTTATTAAATATGTTCGGCTAATGCTTTCTATTACATATAAAAATAAAACAGATTATATATTAGAATCTATGTAAATATGTTTGCTTTCTATTACATCAAAAATAAATTAGAGGCGTGATCATTTTTTAGAATCTATATATATGTAAATATGCACAGCGTCGGCCAATAATGTTATTCAATCAGTCTGCATAATGGATCAGATTCATTACAGAAAGAACATGTTTCAGACCCTCTTGAGCGGATTCCCTTTGAGATTTAATAGATGCGGTGAGTTGAATAGTGTGATAAGGGATACTTCCGTCAGGTATATCCTTATCAAATATATCCTCATCAAATATTTCTTCTTCAATAGCCAATGGAATACGCAGAAGGATGTTATTAGATCTTTCTGATTCTATTAGTATTTTTTAGATGCGATTTACAGGAAAAATGTTATTATGAGCAAAAGGAGGGGTTTTTATACTTTCTGAATACTTCACTCGTGATCACAAAATTATAACAACTGGAACTTGCTAGAAGAAATTTCAAAACAGAATACTCACTAGCGCATACATAGTAAATAATTCATTTGTATTACTGCAAATCTGACTTTTATTATATAACATTTGTTTTTTCTATTGCGTTCAATACCACATGATAAAACAATAAAATTTTAAATTTACTATACTAAATTAATGAAAAAAAACTCTAATCATCTTCTGATGCACCGTCATAATTAAAAGTGACATTAACCACGTTCGCATTTTACGAAAAAGAAGGAATTGTTAGGGTTACGGGTCTGTTAGAAATGCCTTCAGCATTAGAGGTATTAGATGTTTCAATGGTTGATGGATTTAATGTTGTGAGTGATGATGATTTGGAGGGTTTCTTAACAGCTTTTTTCCAATGGAAAGTTCTAATGAATGGTGATAGATAGAATCGTGTTAATTTAGAGATAATAACCCACTTATTTTCTACAGAAACATACCTGGTTTTAACCAAAATAATGTTGAGAACTCATCATATATTTTCTCTCCAACCAAGCTCTTATTGACCCCCGGTACCTTCTCTGTATCTTTTTGCCGTCTAAAAAAAATAGTAAGTATATTAATTCTAGAATTCATGTAAAAAGTCGTGAAACTGTCGTAGAACTTAGGGAGATCACATGTGATACAAAATTTAGCCGATTTGCAAAGTCTTCGATCAACATGTATTGGCTAAATATTGGACCTAGTGTTTTTTTAACGTATATGTTGTGCGTCAAGTGTTAATTTGCGTCAGATGCAGCTGACGCACGTCAGGTGTCGATTGATACTTGACGTGCGTCAGTTAATATTTGACAACTGAGATGTGTTAGCTATCATCTGACGCATTAATAATCAAATAAATAATTAATATCATTGTTACATCATTTACTTTACGCCTTATTTTTTTTCATCTCACATTTTTTTTATCAATATTCAATTTTTTTAAGATGGAATACAATTTTATTAGTAAGGCTACACTTGATGATA